CAATAAAATTGGGAGGAAAAGTAAAAATTAAAAAAACAGGAGAAATTCTTTGGGATCTAGGGCAAAGAGATTTGACATAAAATTCATGATCTATAAAAGGATAAACTGGCAAACTGAACTTCATCAAGATTAGAAACTTTTCATTTTGTGAAAATCTCTGCTAAAGGGACAAAAAGACAAGCTCCAGACTAGAAGAAAATATTTGCTAATATAAATTCAACAAAGGACTATAGTCTAGAGTTTATAAAGAACTCTTAAAACTCAATAGCAAAAACCAAACAATCCAATTAGAATCTGGGCAAAGACCCATGAGCGAGCAGACATTTTAAAGAGGATATACAGATAGCAAATAAACACATGAAAAGATTTGCATCAGTAGCCATCAGGGAAATGCAAATCAAAACCACAATGGCAAAAATAAATAGTGATAACACCAAATACCATTCAAAGATGCAGAGAAAGTGAATCACTCCTACACTGGGAAACACAAGACATTTCAGCCACTTTGGAAGACAGTTTGGCAATTTCTTAAAAACAAAAATAGGCCAGGAACTCAACAGTTGCACTCCCAAGAATTTATCCCAAAGAAATGAAAATCACATTCACATAAATACCTGTACACAAGAGTTTCTATGAGCATTATTCATCATAGTCCAAAACTGGACATATGTGTGATTGGTTCTACAGTGATCTATCCATACCATGAAACCCTATTCAGCAGCGAGAAGGAGCAAACTATTGATTCACCCAACAACCTGGATGAATCTCCAGAGAATTAAGCTGGGTAAAAAAAGCTGATCCTCAATGGGTATATACTGTATATAAATGAGTATATAAATGACTCCATTTATAGAACATTCTTGAAATGACAGAGATGGAAAATTGGGTCATTCTCTGGACTGTGTAATTGTTGCAGGGAAGGGCCAACTCTGACTCCATATTAGATCTGTTTCTTTAACTTTGCTTCTAATGGCTTTTGTTCACTAAAAGGATACTGTTTCTACTCAATGGTCTGCCTCAGGGACTGCTGCCCCTCTGCCTGAACATTAAACCAAAGTGGCTTTGTTTAGGACCCTGTTCACTTGTGGATGGCTACAGGAAGGCAGAAATTAAACAACCCCTCCCCAGGGTGCCATTATAGGAGATATCTGCAAGGTTAATGGCCTTTTTACTTTATTTCCTCATCTCCCACAATCTCTGTTCTATAAAAGACCCTGGCATCCTGACCCTGATCAGATGGTTTCTTTTGAGACATTAATCCACCATCTTCTCAGTCTGCTGGCTTTCTGAATAAAGTTGTATTTCTTGCCTCAACATCTCATCTCTGATTTATTGGCCTTTCATGCAATGAGCAGAGCAAGCATGGACTCAGTCGCATAAATATTATACCATCATTACCACTGAGGGAAATTGGTCAAAGGATACTTGGAGTCTTTGTATTATTTTCCTACAACTACACATATTGAACAATCTCAAAATAAAGTTTAACTAAAAATGAACCCCATGGGACTTCCTTGGTGGTTCAATGGCTAAGATTTTGTGCTTCCAATGCAGGGAGCCAAGGGGCCTCAGTTCGATCACTGGTCAGGGAACTAAGGTCTCACAAGCTGCAAGGCATGGCCAAAAAACTTAATAACAACAAATACAAGGATGTCATCAGTGTGAAAGCCAGGACAATGGTTACTTTTGGAAGGAAAGAGGGCAGCTGGGGTTGAGACTGGGTGGCTGGCAAAGTTCCATTCCTGTCCTGGATGGTAGTTAGGGAGGAATTTATATTATTCACCAAACTCTACATTGTTCTGTGTTTGTTTGTTTTTTTTTTTTTTTTTTTGCATTTGTGTTTTGTTTTACAGTAAATTTAAAAAATAAAAGATAACAGCTTCTCTGTCTGGTTGCTGATCCAGAAGTTATTAGCAAATGTGAGAGAAGTGGCCTAGCCAATCTGCTATCAACAGGCAGTGGGAACAGATAATAAGCAGTCATCATCAGCCACGAGTGGCTTCCCAAGTGGCTCAGTGGTAAAGAATTTGCCTGCCAATGTAGGAGATGCAAGAAATGTGTGTTTGATCCCTGGATCAGGAAGATCCCTTGGAGTGGGAAATGGCAACCCACTATAGTACTTTTGCCTGGAAAATCCCATGGACTGAGAAGCCTGGTGGGCTACAGTCCACAGGGTCACAAAGAGTCAGACATGACTGAGCAACAGGGCACAGCAAACACCAGCCACTAAGGGTTTGTTTGTGGTGCTTAGTTGCTTAGTCATGTCTGACTCTTTGTGACCCCTGACCATGGGGATTCTCCAGGCAAGAATACTGGAGTGAGTTGCCATCCCCTCCTCCAGGGGATCTTCCCAACCCAGGGATCGAACCCACGTTTCCGGATTTGCAGGCAAATTCCTTACCATCTGAGCCACCAGGGAAACCCTAGGGATTATTTGTTACCGTGACATAAATAACCCCGACTGATGTGCCCATGGTGGGAGCATGCACAGGTAGAAGTGGTCTGGACTTCAGGACTTAGGCATGGGTTACAAACAGTGAACTTGGCAAGGAACAAGCTATGCGCCCTTGGGGACGGCTTGGGGAGATTAATACAGCAAAGCCTCAGATTAATGTTCTGTGTACAACCTGAGGCCCACACCTACTCTATACTTAGCTCTTCTGTGGACTACAGTCATTTTTACTGTACCCAGATGAAACAGGCACAGAGAGGCTCAATAACGTATCAAGGTCACACAGCTGGTTGGCGGCACAGCTGGTTAGCTAATATGTTTACATAAAAACTTGAAGGATTAGGTACTAAAGAGCCCATCAGTGACGGGATTTCTTGGAATTTTTCTCTAGTCTTTCTCAAGTTACTAGTATAATTTCTAGTTAAGAAATAAAAAATTTCTGGTGGCTCAGTGGTAAAGAACCCACCTGCCAATGCAGGAGACACGGGTTCAATTCCTAACCTGGGAAGATCCCACATGCCATGCGGCAGCTAAGCCCATGCACCACAATTATTAAGCCTGTGTTCTAGAGCCTGGGAGCCACCACTACGGAAACCTACACACCCCAGAGCCCATGCTCTGCAACATGAGAAGCCACCACAATCAGACTGTGCACCACAACTAGAGAGTAGCCCCTACTGGCTGAAGCTAGAGGAAAAAAGCCCTTGCAGCAACAAACACCCAGCACAGACAAAAATAAAAATAAATTAAAAAAAATTTTTTTTGTAATGAAGAATTCAGGACTTCCCTGGCAGTCCAATGGCTAAGACTGTGCTTCTACTGCAAGAAGCAGAGTTTGACCTCTGGTTGGGTAACTAAGATCCTGCATGCTGCATGATGTGGCCAAAAAAATAAATAAAAATAAAATTGCAAAGTCTGTGTTTAAGGAATCACACAAGCATTGACACTGTGCTTCGGTGTAAGGTAGCACACACAGGTTAAGCATTCACTAGGAGCTGGGCACACCCCAGGCCTAAGAAGTCCCAGAGGGACGGAGGGCCCACAGTACAGGCTGTCCTTTCCTGGGCTCCCGTGTGAGCATCTGTGAGCTCCACACCCCTGCCTTCTATCTCTCTGCACTTTAACCCTGCCAGGGGCTCCTAACAACAGCACTTAAGTGAGATGGAGCAGACATGAACCACACAACAGCTGGTGTGGACGGGCTCATTCAGCTTTGCCCAGGGAGGGGCAGGGGGCCTGCAGCTGCAGAAGCCCTTCCCTGCCCAAGAATGATGGCATTTGGTAACATGCTGCCAGCCGAAGCCCAAACTGCTCCACTCCCTTGCCCCTCTGTCAAGGAATATTTCCTATCAGAAGGCGAGATGGTTTAAAAAAATACTTACACATAAAGCAAAGGTCAGAGCCACAACCCTAAGATGTAGGCAGGCGTCAAGAGCCACTTAAACGCTCTTTAGAGTCCTCAGGGCCCCACTTGACATTTGGTGACCTTCGCATCCAAGGCTCAAGCTGTAATTAAAAGCGGGGGTTGGGGGGAGCCCCTGCCCCGGCGGCTGGGCTGAGGGCCAGGGCTGGCTGACAAGTGCATGGTGACCAGCTGGAACCCCCGGCCAGATGACTCAGAAGGCAAGGGCATCACAGAGGGCCTCAGCCCAATGAACAGGCTTGCCCGGTTTAGCAAATAAGAACAGAGAACACTCAGTTCATTTTCATTTCAGATCAACAACAAAAAAATTTTTCGTAGAAGGCCTCCTGCAATATTTGGGTAGTTACACTTTAAAAAGTCACTCCTTGTTTATCTGAAATTCAAACATAACTGGACAGGCTGGATCTTATTTGGCAATCCTACCTCTGAAGCAATATTTAAAAGAAAAATTCCCTCATTTTCCCCTCTGTCCACAGAAGCAGGCCGTGGTATAGAATCAGGCAGAATGTTCCACCTACCTTAGAGGCTGCACACCACCCTTTTCACACGCCTGCTTTCTATTCCCAGCTCATCAAGGGCTCCTCTAAGGACACTTGACCCCAGCAATACCTCTCAATGGATCCCCAGTGAATCCTAGGGGCTTACTGGGTGTTGGACATCATAGTCAAAAGGAGATAGACAGGTAAGGCCCCACTGCTCCCATGGTGCTGACACTCTAGAGAAGCCGAGAAACTAGAGCATCTCAGGGAGTGAAAAAAGACCAAATGACTGAGTAGTCAGGGAAGGAAGCTGCAGAGCCAACATTTAGGTTGAGAGCCATATGGCTACTGGAGGGAAAATCAATGCTGGCAGAAAGATTTGTATGTGCAAAGGTCCTGTGGCAGAGGAGAGCTTATAGAGCCCAGGAGCAAACTGACGACTGCTATGGCTGGAAGAGGCAGCCGGGGAAGGGAGGGCCTTGTGCAGGGGGAGGCTGGGGCCAGAGGGGTTTCTGAACTAGGAAGGAGCTGGGTTTTATTCTAGGCACTCGAAAATCCTTGGGGTGTTTTTAGAGGGCCATGATGGAATTCAGAGTGGTAAGCACAGTCCAGAGAACACACAGTATCACAGGCTGCCAGGAGAGGGCTACGAGGAGTCAGGGAAGGCATTTAGGGTGTAAAATCTAAGATTTGTGCTCTCAGAGCCCACCAGCGCCCCTCCCCAAGACCCTGCACGTAAGTCCATAACCAGGGAGCACATGACCGGGAGTGGCATCCCCCGCCGCACCCTACAGCAAGCCTGCCCGTTATCTGACCAGCCACTGGCGTAGGAAGGCAGACCAGCAAGACAAGAGACAAACTTAATTCGCGCTCCATGCTTTGACAACAGGTTGCAGGGTCCGTTTCCCACCTGGCTGGGCGCGTCCTGCCCCATCCGCCCGAGCGGGGGCATAAATCGGGGCACACCGGGGCCAGGGCGCCTTCTGGGGCACCGTCTCCAGCATCTGGGGGTCAGCGTCATCAGCCCAACCGCGGGGAGGCAAGGCTGCTGGGGCATTCTGAAATTTCTAGACCCTGGCCTCGCGGACTTCTGCTCCCAGGGCCCAGCGGGCCAGGGGGAGCTGGGCCTCTCCCCAGACCACTGCTTCTCTGCCGTCGCCTCACACTGAGGCTGGGGTACCAAACCTCTGTCTTCGGAGCGGGGAACTTAGGAACTTCCCTTGAGCGCCGTGGCCTCGCGGCTCCTTTGACGTTAATCAGCGGTAACTGGAAGCAAGCACCTGGCTCCCCGGGCCCTGAGCCGCGGCACGAGGAGGGCCCCCTCTGCTGGCGGCTGTCAGCATCGCAGCCTCGGGGGCGCTCTGGGTCCCCCTCGCCGGCTCCCACCTCGCGGACGCGCAGACCCGGGCGGACCCACTTCCAGGAGTGCTGACTCCAGCCCTCGCCAGAGTCTCCATCACCATCCCGGAGCGTCTGGGTCTAACCCATCCTGGGAATTCCAGACAGTTCTCATCCCTCGTGCGGCAGCAAAAGGCAGCCGCGTGATTCCCTGTTTCCTGATTCCATCCCCAGCAACATTCTGCTGTTGTTTCTCACCGGACACAGGTGGACGGCCAGTTCCAACCCGATCTGCAAAGCTCCTAGAAGGAATCCACTTCTGGAGCAGGTCTTCCATCTCCCAGCAGCGTCAGGTACAGCCTGATGCTCCAGGAAATCATCAGAGATTGATGCTGGTTGATGCGAATTTGAGGCCCCAGTGGCGCCCCTGAGTCCGGGGTCTGGCCTGAGGCTGAACGCTATTTTCAGTCCCTGCTATGACCCTAGACCTTGACCTCAGTGGACTAAACTTGTTGGGACACGCAGAACTTGCTGCCAGTGCAGGAGGCCCAGACCCATCTGGGTATTCTGATTCAGGGGATGTGGTGGGGTGGAGGCCGAGACCCTCTTGTTTATCAGCCTGGTGATCCTGGAGGTGAGTACATTAACTGATCTTAAAGAGACACATCAGTAGCTGATTTATACCCATTAGAACAAAGGAAGGTGGGTACAGTGGTCAATCCCTCCTACAGCAAACAAGGGACAAAACTGAAGTCAGTGACTAACCCAAGGCCACACAGCCAGTAAAGAGTAGAGCTGAAATTTAAGCCAGCCTGGGGACCTCTGAGCCTGTCCTAAATCCCCACTTCCTATGACCACATGTCTGGGGTGGAGCAAAGTTCCACAGCTGATCGCTATGTTCTGGGTGTTGGGTGGGACCAACCTCCATAGCTGTGTTTCCATCTGCAGGTGTCTTGGGGAAGGGTGGTGGGAGGAGCAGGGAGGGGAGAGTGAGAAATAGTGAACGTCGGACCTGTAGGGCCTGCGTGCATTTCCTGACCTACACCTGCCATCTCTGTGACCCTGGACAAATAGCCTCACGCGAACCTCCATGTCTTCATCTATGAACTGGCTATTGAGGTACCATGTGGTTGGGTAGTGACAGGAGAGAGGAAGTGCAGGGCATGTCTGGCATGTGACAGTGAGCAGTGCCCGTGGGTGACAGCCCTGTGCTGGGAGTCGGAGGCTGGCCCAGATCCCAGCTGACATTGAACAGGTATGAACTGAGTGAGTCGCCTGCTTTCAGGGTTCCATTTGCTACAAGAGACCCTAAACCTGCCCCATCCATGTCAAGGTTTACTAGAATGAGATGGAACGATGTGTGTGAGGGTATGTGATGGAGCTGAAAAGCAGTCCATTAATGAATTCTGTTGTTATTCCTTATTGCAAGGCTACTTGCAATTACTACGAAACCATGAATCTTTCTAAGGCCCAATGTGAAGATTAGGTAAGGAGAACGGTCAAAGTCTGCAAGAGTCCTCCTCCTCCTCCAGGAAGCCCTCCTTAATGCCCCAGTTTGGCTGATGAGTCCCACCTCTATGCTCCAAAGCACCCAAGGCTGAGCTTGGCACCAGCCTCTTTCATGTCGAAACTGCCTCCTTTCTCAGCATCTACTCCCCTGCCCCACCCCCCACCCCCATGAGCGCTATGAGTCCTCCCTTAGCCAGGCCTGTGGGAAACTTCTGCTGGTCCAGTCCAGAGGTCAGCCAAGGTGGATAAGCCTGTGTGCATAGATTTCACCTCACTGGGAGGTTCCACTATGTTTGCTTTCTAGATAAGTTTCTTCCAGAGAATGAAAGTCATGTGTGAGGATTACTTTGTGTCAACTTGAGCAAGCCGTGGGGTGCCTGGATTAAACATTGTTTCTGGGTGTGTCTGTGAGGGTGTTTGTGGGTGAGATCAGCACTTGAATCCCTGGACTCCCTAAGGACTCAGTAAAGTAGGTCACCCTCCTTGGTCTAACTGGGCTCATACAATCAATCCATTGAGGGTTTGAATGGGACAGAAAACAGAGGAAGGAGAAACTCACCCCTTTGTCCTGACTCACTTCTTGAACTGGGGACATCTCATCTCCGCCAGAACTGGGATTCACACCATCAGCTCTCTAGGTTCTCAGGCTTTGGGACTGAGAATAAATTACGCCAGCAGCTGTCCTGGGTCTCTTGCTTGCAGGTGGTAGATCATAGGATTTCTCAGCCTCCCTAATACTTTGGCCACCTGATGCAAAGAACTGACTCACTGGAAAAGACCCTGATGCTGGGAAAGAGGCAGGAGGAGAAGGGGATGACAGAGGATGAGATAGTTGGATGGCATCACTGACTTGATGGACATGAGTTTGAGCAAGCTCCGAGAGTTGGTGATGGACAGGGAGGTCTGGCGTGCTGCAGTCCATGGGGTCCATGGGGTCGCAAAGAGTTGGACACCACTGAGTGACTGATCTTCTGAGCCAATTCCCATAGTTAATTATATATATATATATATATATATGTGTGTGTGTATATATATATGTGTGTGTATATATATATGTGTGTGTATATATATATATATATACATACACACACACACACACACCATTGGTTCTGTTTCTCTAGAAAATTCTAATTTCTCATCTTTTTAGAGAAAGTGTTTAAGTGAAAAGGCAGAAATCGAGGCTCTTCCCCCTACTCCCCTGCAGTGCTGGGGCATGGGCAAAGACCATTTGGGGACCGACCTCCTACCATCTATCCACCCCAAACCCAAAATAAGCACCAAACCCAAGGTGCTTATCTCTCACCTTCCATCAAAATTCACCTGTCCTCATCCCCATCCTCTCAAGGCCCTGTTAAACTCTGTTAGGATGATTAGCTCTTCAAAAGAATTCATTTGTATTCACACCCACAATGATGGCAAAAGTTAAAAAGACAATGACAAAGCCTAGAGAGACTGTGGAGAAATTGGAAACCTGATACTGCTGGTGGGAATGTAAAATAATGCGGCCACTTTGGAGATGTTTGGCAGTTCCTCAAAATGTTAAGTATAGATTTACCATATGACCCAATTCCTTCCCAGCAATATACTTAAAAAAAAAAAATCCACACAAAAACCTTTATAGAAGTGTTCATAGCAGCATTCTTCTTAATATCCCCAAAATGGAAATGGCCCAAAAATCTATCAACTGAAGAATGGATAAATAAAATGTGGCACATCCGTACAATGGGGTATTTGGCCATAGAAAGGAATGAAGTCTCAAGACATGCCACAACCTGGATGAACGTTGAGAATAGGCAAAGTGAAAGAAGCTGGTCACAAAGACCACTTTTTGTATGATTCTATTTACATAAAATATCCAGAATAGGTAAATCTGCAAGGAGAGAAAGCAGATTTGTGGTTGCCTGGGGCTAAGGGCTTGGAAATAAGAAATAAGAAAGTGACTGCTTTTGGGTGTGGGGTTTCTTTTGGGGGGGTGATAGAAAATATTCTAAAACTGACTGTGGCGATGGCTGCAGAACTGTGTGGATATACTAAAAAACAATGATTTATACACATAAATGGATAAATGGTATGATATGTGAATTTGAGCTCAATGAGGCTGCTTAAAGAAAAGAATATGTCTGCAATCACAGGAGGCCTTTCTAGTCTCAGCCACGTGGCTTATTAACTCACTGGCTGGCAGATGGGAGAGGGCCATGAATGTAGCGTGAGCTTGCTCACCGGTGGGGGTATTTCCATGGGGAGCTTCCTGGAAACCTTAGGTTTCTCTCATGGCTAGGATGGAACCTTCAAGGACCCCCAGCCCACTCCCACCCCTCAGACACAGAAGACTCCAAGTACCAGAACCAAAATGATCACTCCCACGCCTGTTCCTCACAATCTCGCCTCACACTTTTATTGTTAATTTTCTTCACATGTCCTCTTCTGCAATCCAAACCCACGCTCGAAGACCATCACTGACCAGGAAACACCGCTTTTTAAAAAACAAAAAACCCAACCCACCCTCCCACCCCCGTTTTCATGATTGGAACATTTGTGACAGTTCTCCTGATAGTCTGAGGGTTGGAGGCTGACCAGCAAGTTTGCACATGCAAAAAAAATGAGTGTCCCCCAGCCCTCCCACCACATTTTCCAGAATTTTCCACTGGCTGAAGGCGACTTTCCAAGCTTTGGGTTCGTGGGCCTTCCTCGCTGCTGAAAGGAAAAACAAACCCTCAAGAACTGAGAGGCTGGGGTACAGTTCACGAGTGTCAACATGGAGGGGACAAAATCGTATCGTTAGGATAAAGAATGGCCACAGATTTTCATGCTCATGAGGGTTAATTTTAGGAGTGGGCCAAAGGATTCCAGTTTGTGAGAATTTAAAACAAATCATGGCCTGTAGCTGGGAGGGTGGGGAAAAGGATGGGAACAAGCCAACAATCAGCACTTTTCTGCCCACATGAGGCTCTCAACAAAACTTTCCTCCTGGACCGTTATCAGACCCCATGCTGCAGCCAGTCGACAGATTCATTAAATAACAAGTTATAAAACTTTAAAAATGGGGCATTTACAGTCAGGGACATAAATACGTGCTTTTAAAAGTGTCTACATACATATTTACAGAGTTGCAAGATCAACCGTAATAGCCCTGAAAAAAGTCCCTTTTTTTTTTTGCATGACCATTCCTACATACTCTAAAGGGTCCCCTCTTTCCACTTTGGGTCTGGCGCATCACCATCAAAAATGGGGCTGAGAAGACAGCACCAAAGTGGTCTCAGACATCCTTGTCTGGGGTCTGCCCCAAAGGCACAAAACCCAAGACCCTCACTGAACTGGGTCCAAACTCCTAGCTCAGCTCACCCGTTTCTCCGAGACATGGACTGCTCCGTCAGAGACGAAGCCAGCTGCATTGTTCCCTGGCAGGCGATGGACGGTCTCCGGAAATCTCTTCCCCACCGCCCCACCCCCACCCCCAGGCTTTTTAATCATCCAACTTATTTTTCGTTTCCCAGTTTCTGTTTGTTTGTTTCCCTTTTCAGCCAATTTGAGAAGCTCAGACACTAAAGGTGTTGATGGTCCCACCAAGTGAGGCAAAGAAGCACACGAGGCGCTCGCCCCCTGCCCCCACCAGATGCCTTGCCGTCCCTGCCTCTCCCAGGGAGGAGTCTGATCTATAAATGGGGACTAGGACTTTCTCCCGGACGCACAGGGCCTGACAAACGAGAACGGCCAATCTGGAAACGACTCAAGAGCCAGCGGCTCAGATTGCTCAGGCAGAGAGAAAAGGCTTCCAAGTGCAAGGGCCAAGGGGGATGATCAGCAAGGCTCCGAAGTGTCTACAGGCTACAGATTCCCAGAGACTTTAGGGGTGAGGGGAGGCGGGCGTGGGGGGCGGGGGAGGGGGGCCGTTGTGGGGTGGGGGGGCAGGAGCAGGGCTGGCCAGAAGGGGAACTTGGCCTCCTCCTGAAGGCCTTGCTCGGACAGGGCTGGAGCTGACCCCTGGGGCCAGACCCAAGTCCCCGCCGTGGCAAAAGACAACGAGAGAAGCAAAAAGCAGGATCAAGGAGCTCTGGAAAAATTGCATAGTAGGAGGGGCCCCTCCCAACAGGAAGGCTGAGCTGCAGGTCACGGCCTGGGGACAGCACCCGCATGTCATCCTCGGTGCCGAGCCAGCTACCCTCCAGCTTCCCTGGGGTTCAGGACCCTTGTCTGAAGACCACAGGCACACACATACGCACACACACATGCACGCACACACATATACACACGCACTCCTTCTCTCTCGCAGGCTCATGGATCTGGAATAGGTCGGTACTTCCTGCAGGGCAGAAGGCCAGTCCCTTTGGCTTCACTGACTCCAGGTCACTTCAGGTGCTGAGGAGAAAAAGAGAAGAAAAATAACAATGACGGCTACATGTTCAAGTGCCTACCTCTTCGAGCATGGTCCCTCTACTGAATTTTTCTAGTTAAGTTATTTTCAGAAGTATACCACCTGCACAGAAAGAGCATGGCTTGATGAACTGTTAGTGAACATACCTTTGTGACCAGCACCCAGATGGGGAAACAGAACATGACCAAACTCCCATCAGCCCCACCCAGGCGCCTCTTGAGGATACCCACCCACCTTCACCCCCTAGAATAACCACTCTCCTGACCTAATTACCATAGATTGCTTTTACCTGTTTTTATTTATTTACTTATTTTTGGCTATTTATTTACTTATTTTTGAGTCTTCAGTGCTGCAAGCAGGCTTTCTCTAGTTGCAGTGAGAGGGGGCTACCCTCTAGTTGCAGTGTACAGGCTTCTCATTGTGGTGGCTTCTCTTGTTGAGGACCCTGGGCTTCGTTGACCCTCAGCATGTGGAATCTTCTGGGACCAGGGATCAAACCCATTTCCCCTGAATCGGCACTTGGATTCTTAACCACTGGGCCACCAGGGAAGCCATAACCCATTTTTTGACTTAAATAAATGGAATCAATTGGTACATGTGCCTTTTGGGCCTGGCTTCTGCATAATGGTTTTGGAGGTGCACCCACCTGAGGATGCACACGCTCATCGAGCATGTGGCCCTGGTTCTTTCAGTCTATGCTATGGATTCTAGTACAAGGTCAGGCCACTTTCATCTGCCTAGTCAACTGCCCATGCACAGACGGGTGGTTTCTAGTCTGGGGCCATCACGAGTAATGTCAATAGAACATTCTTATATGTGTCTAGAAGACATGTACGGTGCACATGTGTACGTATTTATGCTAAGTGGAAATGCTGGGCAGTAGGGTGTGCATATATAAAATATGAACATGTGGTAAACATGTGTATACACTTCTGCTGAGTGTACCCCTAGCAATATAACTGCTGGGCCCTGTGGAAGGCATAGGTACAGCATCAGTAGATACTGCCAGTTTTCCAAAGTAATTACACTGTCACTTCATTTCATGCTAATACACTAAACAACCCTGGTGGCAGGTGACACAGATCCCCATTTCAATGGAAGAGACAGGATCAGAGAGGAGAAGGAACCTTTACAAGGTCAGTCTGATGCACAGAGATAGGGTTAAGCCCCGTCCCGAGCCTATGTGTGCCCTGTGTCCTGGGGGAGTGGCTTACTCCTCATCCTTCCTCCAAGAAAACCCTGGTTATGGTACTTGGCACAGAAAGCCAGGCCCATGGGTGACTGTTTAATGACATTTGTTGCCCAGGGTTGACTATGAGCCTGGAGTTGGGCTAGGCCAAACTCAGGGGCTCAGTTCTCTCCTCCAGTGGAACTGGTCATCATTTACTATTACTATTACAAGTACTATCTACTATTGCTATTACTACTAATAATAATATAATAATTCAGTGAAAAGAATAATAATTATATTGCTGATTTGTGGGACGACTTACTACATACCAGGCATACTAAGTGCTTTTCATGTGCTAACCTTTGCAGTGCTGACAATATAACTGTGAGAGGGGTATGCTCATCCCTTGCTATCCACAGGGGACTGGCTTCAGCACCCCTGTTGATGTGCAGTGTGTTTAGTCATGTCCAACTCTTTGCAACCCCATGGACTGTAGCTCACCAGGCTCCTCTGTCCATGGGATTCTCCAGGTAAAAATATTGGAGTGGGTCGCCATTTCCTCCTCCAGGGGATCTTCCCCACCCAAGGATCAAACCCATGTCTCCTGCATCTCCTGCATTGGCAGGTAGGTTCTTTACCACTGAGCCACCTGGGAAGCCCTCAGAACCCCCAAGGATACCAAAATCCACAGATGCTCAAGTCCCTTATATATAGTGGTGTAGTGTGGAATTATCAACCTAATTTATAGATGGGCAAATTGAAACACGGAGAAGTGAATTACCTGCCAGGATTACTGGAAAGGGAATTCAACTCCATAAAGTGTGCTCCTATGTCAATTTCAACTCCCCGCGACCTCAGACCCCTTGATAGGGCTGGAAAGAGAGTTGCTCCTGGTGGAGCTAGGTGACTTAGAAAGAGGGAGCCTCCTTCCGGGTGGAGGCCAGCATGCACCCTGTTCATCTGAGCAGGAGCAGCAGGAGGAAAGGAAGGCAGGCCAGCGTGCAACAGCCTGCAATCCCCTCTGGTCTGGTGTGGCTCATCTATGTGAGCTTCCTGTGGGTCATCAAGTGGGATCCATGCAAGAAGCCATCTTGCCAGACCCCAACCAGAAAGGCAGCCCTCCAGGGAGGAGACCCCAGCAGCTGACTGGAGCTGAGGGACAGCTGGCCGAGGCTGTGCCAGAGGGGAGTTCACCTATCACAGAGACCCTCCACCATCCATTCCCAGGACCCCATGGGAGGGCCAGTGTCAGGAAGCCTGCCCCAAGGCTGGCCAGTCTTAGCTAAAGGAACAGTGACAGCCAAGAGGAGCATCATATGTCGGCCAGACGAGTGAGAAGTGCCAGTCCCTGCCCCGGACAGCCCTTCCTCGTCCCTGCCATGGTCAGCCCCTCCTACACCCTTAGGCACAAGTCTGGCTGGTGCCTAGGACTGGGAAGAGACAGAGGTGAAATAGGATGTGCAATGGGAGTTTCACGCTGGACTAGGCAATGTGGCGTTTTGTTACACCTAAAAGTGAAAGCGTTGGGCTTTGCCTGAGACATCGTGAGAACACAGAAGAGGGGGCAGTGGAAGGCAGCTGGAGAAAAGCCAAGCTGCCCTGTGGTGGTCCCTCACTTGGGTCAGGCTGTCCAGTCCAGTAGGCTGGTCACAGAGCCTCTACCTGGGTGAGGGCAGGAGGATGAACAGCAGTCCTGGGTGCTCTGGGGACATCATCATTTTCCTCAGGACAAAGTCCAATGCATGTACCCTGGGTACAGACCACAAAGCCCATGGTCCATCTGGCATCAGAAGACTGACCCCAGGGCTAACACTCACCCCTCTGTCTCAGCTTCTCCTCTCTATAAATAGAGGGTGCTGGCCTATACATCCCTTCCTGTGCTAAAATCCTTTGCCATGGCATCTCAAAACATCATTCTGGAACTGTGTTAAATAGTGCTATGGACTGAATTGTGCCCCCACTCCAATATCCATGCCTACTCATGATTGTACTCTAACTCCCAATGTGATGGCATTTGGAGGTGGGGCCTCTGGCAGGTGATTAGGTTTAGATGAGGTCATGAGGGTGGGGCCCTCATGATGGGATTAGTGCCCTTGTAAGAAAAGATGCTTCCTCCCTCTGCCATGTGAGAACACAGTCAGAAAGTAGCATCTGCAGGCCAGGAAGAGAGGTCTCACTAGAGCCCAATGATCCTGGTACCCCTATCTTGGCCTTCCAGCCCCCAGAAATGTGAGAAGTAAATACCTATTGCTTAAGCCCCCCTGTCTGTGATATTTTACTATGGTAGCCCAAACAGACTAAGACAAATAGTATACGTAAGATTTTTTTTTAAGTCACTTTTTAAGTGGGCAAAAGACCTAAACAGGCATTTCTCCAAAGAAGACATACAGATGGCTAATAAACACATGAAAAGATTCTCAACACCTCTCATTATTAGAGAAATGCAAATCAGAACTACAATGAGATATCGTCTCACACAGGTCACAATGGCCGTTATCAGAAAATCCACAAACAACAGTGCTGGAGAGAGTGTGGAGAAAAGGGAACCCTCTTGCACTGTTGGTGGAAATGTAAATTGATGCAGCCACTATGGAAGACAGTATGGAGATTCCTTTAAAAAACTAGGAATAAAACTACCATAATGACCCAGCAATCCCACTACTAGGCATATACCCTGAGGAAACCAAAATTGAAAGAGATACTTGCATCCCAATGTTCACTGCAGCACTATTAACAATAGCTAGGACATGGAAGCAATGTAGATGTCCATCAACAGATGAATGGATAAAAAAAAGTTGTGGTACATACATACAATGGGATATTACTCAGTCATAAAATGGAACACATTCGAGTCAGTTCTAAGGTGGATGAACCTAGAGCCTATTAAACAGAGTGAAGTAAGTCAGAAAGAGAAAAACAAATATTGTATATTAACACATATGTACAGAATCTAGAATGATGGTTCTGATGAACCTATTTGCAGGGCAGCAATAGAGATGCAGACAGAGAGAACTGACTTATAGACACAGGAAGGAGAGAGGAAGGAGCCGGTGGTACGAATAGAGGGAGGAGAATGGAAACATATACACTACCATGTGCAAAATGGACAGCCAATGGGAATTTGCTGTATCATTCAGGGAACCCAAACCAGGACTCTTACAACCTAAAGGGGTGGGAAGGGGTGGGAGGTGGAAGAGAGGTTTAAGAGGGAGGGGCATATGTGTGCCTAGGACTGATTCATGTTGATATATGGCAGAAATCAAGGCAATATTATAAAGCAATTATCCCTCAATTAAAAATAAAATTTTTAAAATAATAAGTTATACATACTTATTATCATTTAGTTGCTAAGTTATGTCTGACTCTGCGACCCCATGCACTTTTAGCCCACTAGGCTCCTCTGTCCATGAGATTTCCCAGGCAAGAATACTGGAGTGGGTTATCATGGCCTCCTCCAGGAAATCTTCCCGGCATACTTATTTAAAAATTTAAAACATAAAAAATTTTAAATTAGGGAAAAAATTAAATAAGATTTTAAGGAGCAAGTTTCAGTCCCTTTAAAATTAAACTGTTGAGCTCTGATCATTCACTGTTGGTGAGTATACAGAAAAAGCTGTGAGCTGCAGAGAGGCAAATGAAATTTTGGGCTTCTAGGCATCCAAGCACCCTGCTTGGGAAGCTGCACTCATTTGAAACCAAGTGGAAAAGAATACAACTGTCTAGGGTCACACGCAGGCCCCAAAGGAGGGCCTGAACCTGCAAGGCCTGCTTACAGCTGAGACTGCAGTAACTGACAGAAACACCCTAGTCTGTGCAGAAATCACTCCAGCTGCACCTGACCCTCTCTTAGGCTGCAAAGAACACCTGCTCTGAGCTGAAAGCCACATCCAGCCAGCCCGTCAGCATGAAAGTCCACATAGCTGCCATAGTGGTGATCCCAGGACACCCGTGGGGCTGGAGTGGGGAACTGCTCAGCCCGCACAGCCTGCCGTTCTCCAGAACACTCTAGCCAAGCCTCTCCTCTAGTCAGACATGACTGAAGCAATAGCACACACGCCCCAGTTGTACTTAAAATGCTGGTCTTGGAGACACAGTGAAAGAAGACATGCCATGTCACCATCAGAGAAACCCAAGCCAGCTCCAGGTCAGTAGCAAAGCCCAGCCCCTCAAGAGGAAAAGTCCAGCTTCCATGAATGAATTAGGTTTCATTATCAGAAAATCTAGAAGGAAGCTCATGGTTCAGCATAAATCTCAGTTTTACATTTTACAAATTAATATTACTTCCACTTTCAAGTACATGATAGAATAGCCTTTTCTGGGCTTAAAGCCACTGAAGGTTTCAAGTGTTGTACAACCACTAATACTTAGACTTACCTGGTGTTTATTCTGTGCCAGGCAAGGTTCTAAGTGCTTTCATACATTTGACACTTGCAATTCTCACAAGTATGAAATAGGTACTATTGTCATTCCCATTTTATAGATGTGGAAACTGAGGCTCAGAGAGAGCGGTCCCGCAGCCCATAAGTGACAGAACTGGGATTTGAACCAGGTGGTCCAGGGTCCACACACTCACCCAGTCCCAGCAGGAAGGCTTCCTGCCCCCCGCCCCGAGCACACAGCACGGTGCTCCAGGAGTCATCACGCCCAACCCCTTCTCTCCTGCCCAGCCCACCCCCAAGCCCCACCCCCAAGCCCCACCCCCGAAAGCCCCAGGAGGCTCCCCCACCCTCTGAGTACCTGTCAGGGAGCAGGCGAAGCACCTACTCTTTGAGGAGGGATCCCTGGAGCTGGGCTGCAGCTGTGGCCTTGACATTCCTACACTGTCTGGTGATATACGGGGCAGCTGGCGGAGGACATCGGGATGCCAGGCGGAGACTGTAGCTGCGTGGGGAGAGGAATAACACACAGCATCACCAGGGGCCCAGCCCAGTGGGTGTCCCAGACAGCACCTGGAGGGCCTTGGTGCTGATGCACTCTCCGGGCACCTTCAGGCCAATGGGAGGTGAGCTTTAACAACCACCATGCTCCATCTACCTGCTTCCCTCCGCTGGGAGGCACTGGGCTGGGAGAAGCATCTAACTGCCAGGTTCTGAGATACTGCACAGGGCAGGCCCACCCTGAGGACTCCGACTGGATGGGGGGGTGAGCCAGGAATGGACACTTGCTGTGCAGATGGCAGCTTGACCGCTTCCCCAGCTGCTTCCGTGGGCATTGCTCTCCCCGCAAAAAGCATCTGAGTATGCTCTGGTACCACGTTACAACCATCGCTTGCAGAAAGGAGAGGAGGGAGGGCTGGCTCCCCTCCAGGCCATTAACTCTGCACCTGGCAGCCATGCCAGTCTCACTGTGCCAAAAACGTTTGTGTCAGGGGTCTCAGAGGGGCTGTAAACCAGGATCCCTTGACACCGTTTGGTCCTATTTGCTACTACAGCCCTTCAAACAGGATTTCTTCTTCAGGAAAGCATTATTATTATTATTTAAATAGCTAATGCAGAGACTTCCCTGGTGGTCCAGTAGGTAAGACTGTGCTTCCACTGCAGGGGGACACAGGTTCAATCCCTGGCCGGGAAACTAAGATCCTTCATGCTGTGTGGTGTGGCCAAAAAAACAACAATAATAAAAATAAAAACCCAAATACTCTAAAAAAAAAAAAAAGGTAACCAAGACCATTATTCCTCCCCTTCCTTCATCCATCTAACTCATACTCATCTTCCAGATCCTAGCTGGAATACCACCTCCCCCAGGAAGCCTTCCTTCTCTAATTCTTGGATGAGATGTCCCCCTTGTGGGTTCCCACTGCCCCTCCTATTTCTCCATCACAGCACTTGTTATACTGAGTCACAAGCAATCCAGAATCATGTGTCAAATTCCCTCAGGAGCTATGAGATCTCAAGGTCAGGGCCCTTGTCTTGTTCGCTGCTGCATCTTACTTTAGCATCACAAAAACAAATATTTGTTCAATAAGAGCAACACAATGACTTCCCTGACGGTCCAGTTGTTAAGAATCCACTTGCCAATGCAGGGGACACAGATTTGATCCCCGGTCCGGGAAGATCCCACAGGCCACAAGGCAACTAAACCTTTGAGCTACATCTACTGAACCCACGTGCTGAGAGCCTGCGCTCCACAGCAAGGGCAGCCTCCTTCCAATGAGCGGCTGCTCAGCGAACAGCAGCCCCTACCCGCTGCAACGAGAGAAAGCCTTCATGAAGACTCAGTGCAGCCAAAAAAAGAATGACGCATACGGTGCCCAGAATTGTGCTATTTTACGTATAGCAAGTGTCTTACTCTTCATACATGGTGGATACTCTGTTAACTCTCATTTACAGATGGGTAAACAGAGGCACAGAGTGGTCAAGTAACTTGCTCTGGGTCCCAAGTCTGCCTCTCTGGGTAGAAGAATGGAAGTGAGGCGGGTGTGCTGCTCTCGTCCAGGAGTTGGCCACGGCCCGCTCCGTTGGACAGGGCTGAACTAGGAATGAGGTCTATCTCAAAGGTGAAACATCAGGGTTTCGATTACAGGTTCTTAGCCAGGGCACAGATTTGGCAATGTCTGGAGACATTTGGGATCGTCACATCTGAAGGCAGGGATACTGCCACCCAGCATCTGGTAGGCAGGGCCAGGGATGCTAAACTAAACATCCTAAAATGCATAGGATGCCCCCACGACAACTAATCTGCCCAGATAGTAAAAGCACCATGACCTATCAAGAATGCGTACTCAGCCTCTCAGCTGTGTCCAACTCTGTGTGACCCCATGGACTGTAGCCCACCAGGCTCATCTGTCCATGGGATTTTCGCAGGCAAGAATATTGGAGCGGGTTGCCATTTCCTCCTCCAGGGGAGCTTCCCGACCCAGGGATCAAACTGTAGTCTCCTGTGTCTCCTGCATTGGCAGGCTGATTCTTTACCACTGAGCCACCTGGGAAGCTCTACCAGAATAGAAGAACGTATAAACAGCCCAACACAGAAGTTGTCAGAGGAAGATTTCTGTCCCCTCCACAAACCGGATCCCCTCTGAGGCCTAGCTCTCAGTCGTGGCTCGGGGCTGCACCTGCTTCGATTCCTCCCCTGCACTGTGTGATCCAGCCTGAGCAAGATTTAAGGCAGAAAACAGAGACCCAATGCTCAGCAGCAAGCCTGTGCCCCAGATAGACCAAAAGGTCCATGAGGTGGCCTGTGAGGGGCACGCCAGGGTGACAAGACCCCTTGGCCAGCTGACTCAATGCTGGGAGGGGACAGTCAGCTGCCAGGCTGCCTGGAAACACAGATGACCTGCAGAATCTTGTCCAGCTAAAGAATAAGGGACAGTCCTGGCACGTGGCAGGTGCCCCATGGTGTCCCTTCTCTGGGGCCATGTCTCCAGAGGAATAGAGCAGGACAAATAGCAGCTTTGGGGACAACAGGCTAGCATCCTCAATTTCCAGTTCCTTCCTCTCACTGTCACCATCATCACACATCTATCAAACATTCAGAAACCTAATCAGTCAGGGACTTCCCTGGTGGTCCACTGGTTCAGAATCTGCCTTTCAATGCAGAGAGTGTGGGTTCAGTCCCTGGTTGGGGTATTAAGGCCCCACATGCCACAGGTAACTAAGCCCACGTGATCTAGAACCCATCCGCCCCAACAAAAGATCTTGAACTCCACAACTAAGACCTGATAAAACCAAATATAAATAAATAAACATTAAAAAAAAAACACCCTTATCAATCAAAGGTGATGCCTCGACCTCCCAGCCTTCTCCACTGCTATGGGTACCTCTGCTCCCTTACGCTCCCTTCCACTCTCAGGCGCCTGCAGCCCCACAGCCATCGGCACTCAGGAGCAGGTTTTCTTCTCAACCCTAGGTGTCTACCTGGTCAGGGGCAAGGTCCGCAGAGGTGGGTGCCCCTCGCCACCCCTCGCACACTGCCCAGCCTCACGGAGGATAACATGGGCTAACATGCACAAGGACCCCTGTGACTCCCTAGTGCTCTCTCCTCTGTTAAATCTGGAGTCTGCCAGCAGCCCAGGTGGAAGGAAGGAATAAGTGCTTTTAAACCCATTTCACAGATTAGGAAACGAAGGCTCAGACAGATGGAGACTTTCCTGGGGAGTCAAGTCCAGGTCTTTCAGCTTCACGAGCCATGATTTTGCAGAGGGACACTAAGTCACCATCTGGGTGTTCCCTTAAGGGACCAGGGTGGTGCTATCCGACAGGACAGCCCCCTTTCTGACTGTGAAGCCTGTTCTCTGGTCGGAGAACTTGTGAGAGCCCAGCAGCTGAGGAGCGTGGTGTCAGGAAACCGGGTATTCGTGACCCACAAGGACCTCATGATTCTTCGGTCCCATTCCGTGGCTGTGTGACCTTGGCAAGCCACGAACCCTCTCTGAGCTCCAGTTTCACCACCCAGAAAATGGTAAGGGCAGTTTTATTATTTTTCAATTTTATTTCATAGGGCTATTGTTGTTGTTCAGTCACTTAGTCGTGTCCAACTCTCTGCAGTCCCATGGACTGCAGCACCCCAGGCTTCCCTGTCCTTCACCATCTCCTAGAGTTTGCTCAAACACATGTCCATTGAGTCAATGATGCCAATAAAATACAGTATCAAGGAGCATGGTGTTTTGATTGTGGCCGCTGTGGGGTGGAAGAGGCAGCACAGCCTTCAGAGACCTGAGTGCGAGTTCCCACCCTCATACTCGCTGGAAAGCCTCCCTGACTCCTGGCCTCCAAACCTCAGTCTCCTCATCTGTAAAATGGAGACAACCTGTGTAGCTTGCTAATGCAGAGCCGGGCTAGAGAGGGCCTGGGAATGAAGGACCCTTGGCCTTCTGAGAAGAATTCAGCAAGAGGGGGATGTTTCTGAATGTCCAGGGGAGTGAATGTGAGGGGAGGGAACATGGAAGCAGGAAATGCTGGGCCCTGCCCACTCTGTCCGCCTTCTTCCCTCTCTTCCATCACCTGGTTGGGTCTTCTGCACAGCTTCCACACTGGCTCCCCTCCCATCTGCTCTCCTTGCCTAAGGTTGTGATGCATCCCCAAACCCAGGGCTCCCAGCGGAGATCAAGCTCTTACATGCACAGCCCATCCCCGCTGACCTCCCAGCCACCTCACTCCTTCGGCTCCTTTCTCCCCAGCTCCACAAGACTTCCTTCAGCACATCGACGTGGAGCCCTCCTCCCCATGGCCTTCAGCCCCCGATGCTCACAAGAGTCCCCTGAAGCTGCCCCCTGGCCTGTGACATCAGATCTCTGAGATGGCCTCAAGCAGCAGTGCTTTTTAAGATCCACAGGGGTCTCAACGGGGGTGGGGGCGGGCTGGGAACCAGTGCCCTGCAGATGGTCAGGGCCTGGCCCCCTGAGTTATCAGCCCACACAACCCCCACCTCCAAGGGTGGCTCCACATTATCTATGAGATAGAGTGGTGAGTGCGGGTCTAAGACTACAGAACCGGGCTGGGTCTGCTCATCACTGCAGCCTTCACACCTAGTTCTGAGTGCAAGGACAGCAAACCCTCAAAACATACTGAATGAAGGAGTGAGTGACAGACTTAGAACTTCTGGTTGCCAGGGGGAAGGGACAGTTAGGGAGTTTGGGATCGACATGTACACACAATGCTATATTTAAAATGGATAGCTACAAGGATCTACTGTACAGCACATGGAACTCTCTCAATGTTATGTGGCAGCCTGGATGGGAGGGGAGTTTGGGGGAGAATGGCTACATATCTATGTATGGCTGAGTCCATCTGCTACGCACCTGAAACTACTCCAGCATTGTTAATTGGCTATACCCTGAAACAAAATTAAAAAGTTAAAAAACAAAAAAAGCAGTGAGTGATCATAGACCCTAGACATCCCCCACACAGGCTTCTCAGACACAGAAATCTGTGCACATTCAG